TATATATATTTGAATTTGAATAAATTATTTGAATCAATACATTATTCTACACATTTCGGAACGAAATATACTGCAACAACTTTTAAATTTGCGATTCTAAAATTTCTTAACTAATCAGCGCGATTCCTATCAATAGCAATCGAATGTTTTTTGAATCATTCAAATCGGTTGATTCGTGCTCTCGAGATCGTCGACGAAAAATTGTATCCGCACATCCTTACGCACACATACACACATATATCCATTTTAAGGTGTGCCAAAATGTACAGAAACCTCTAAACACCTCTAAAGATATGCAAAAATTTTCATTTATAATTTCTTTGCAGGTTACATTTACGATTATCCAGCAAAAAGTTAAAAAATCAGCATTTAATTACAAGAAGACAACGGTTCGGGTGGTTTATAAAAAAATTTATCAACATGGCTGAAATCATTTTATGCTTATTTATGTAGGGCTGAAATCTTAATAAAGATGGCCGTTAACAGGTGAAAAACGGTTAAGGAAAAACGGTTCGTTGATGCAACGCCTATTCGATTATTACTTGACAGTTCATGTAGGTTCAATTTGATTAGCTTGATAATAAATATAATTGATAAGATTAATTAAGTCTTATCCCATGTGATAAACAAATCATTTATATCGCATTTTGCTTGGCATTTGAATTATGTTGAGAAAAAATAGCATAGCAATAATCTAAAGAAAAATAATAAATAAAGAAAAAATATTAGTTTCGAAAATTATTGTCAATCAAAGTATGCAAACTATTTTCTTTACTAGTAATTTACTAACTTTTTACTATTTGTGCTTTTTCTGCTTACTGTACTTTTTACCAAAAAATCTTTTTACTTTTTCTGCTCATTTATTGAACAATGAAATATTTGATTTAATATCTCGAGTAAATTGTATTTGACGCTGATTATGGATAAAAAGTTTACTAACATATTAGTATTGAAAGGTAGTGATGACTTACTCATGAAAAATTATTAAGTATATTTATTTAAATCATTTACACTCCACTTATTCGAAATTGAATTTACATAACCTCAATCTCTTACAGAAAACTTAATTGGCTACTAAATAAAAGCATAACCGATGAAATATATATTCACAAATTTTATTTCCAAATGGAAATGTTTATTACTGATCCTCGGAGTGCGAGTGTTATCAGTTTTTGCTGTTCGTACCTGGTACGTACCTGATGAATTCTGGCAATCTCTAGAAGTCGCACACTACTTGACATTTGGCTATGGATATTTGACTTGGGAGTGGCATGAAAGAATTAGGAATTTTTTGTACCCTCTTTCCATATCAGTTTTATATAAATGTCTGGATATATTGCATCTAGACTCTGTTTATATGTTGACCACTGTACCAAGAATTGTACAAGCGATTTTCACTGGCGTAGCTGAGTATAAACTCTATTGCTGGTCTGGTCGTAGTAAGTGGACACTGTTTATGTGCTTGTCGTCATGGTTTGTATTTTATATTGGTTCAAGAACTTTGCTGAATACTGTAGAATATGGAATTGCTTGTATTGCAATTACACAATTTCCATGGAGAAATTGCCGTTCAGGAGACCGATGTAGATTTTTGTACACAATCGGGCTTGGAACAGCCATGAGACCCACTTTTATAATTCCTTGGATACCATTATGCATATATCATTTGTACAACCCAAAATTAATATTTCTGAAAGAAATAATTGTAAGATATGTAGTTATTACATTAATAATGTTATTTGCAAGTATAGGTATAGATAGTCTAGTCACTCAGAGATTTTCATTCACTTCTTGGAACTTTTTAAAAATAAATATTGTGCAAGGAGTGGCAAATTTTTATGGATCACATTCTTTCCATTGGTATTTATTAATAGGATTGCCAACAATATTATCAATTTCAATCGTTCCATTTGCTCTTGCTACGTATAGCATGATGAAAAATAAATTTTCAGACCACATATCTTCATTAATGTTAATATCGATTACTTGGAACTTAGTTATATATAGCATGATTACTCATAAAGAATTTAGATTTTTATCAGGTAGCTTACCAATGATATTGGTGGTAACATCTAAATATTTGTCCTTCGTCTGTTCTCTCAGATCAGTTCCAAAACTTGCCTTGTATTTCATAGTGTGCGCAATCATGCTTTTTAATTTGCTTCCCATGTATTACTTTAGTTGGATACATCAATCAGGCACTACACTCCTAATGCCGGCATTATTAAAAACTGTAGAAAATTATTCAAGGTCCAATGCAGTCCCACCAAATTTACTATTCTTGATGCCGTGCCATTCTACACCATATTACAGTCACATTCACCAAAACTTATCCATGAGATTTCTCACATGCGAACCTGATATTAAATATAATGGGATAGAAGACGAAGCTGATGTATTTTATCAGAATCCACAGAAGTGGTTAGATATAAACTATTTTAATGTTATAGATGATGAATGTAAAAGCAGTTCTTGCATTGGAAGACAAAATATAAAAGATAAATTACCTACTCACTTGATAATGTTTGATGAACTCCAAAATCGGATTCATAAAAGTCTGAAGCATTATAAAGAAGTTCTGAAATTATTTCATACACATTTTCCTACTGAAAGAGTCAGTTCGCATATAATAATTTATGAAATTAATTAAATCTATTAAGTTAATTGATATAGTATATGGATTTATAAAGTATTTTTTATTATGTCGATCATCAAAAGTAGAAATACTATTATTTCACTTTATTTATGGGATTGATCTTTTGCAAATGTATGATAGAGATCCACTGAACAATCGATTGAAAATATTTTTATAAACATAATTTAGTTTCCGTTCTATTTGTATTACATGTTTAAGAAATATATTGTTTTTATATAAAGAACTACATGGGTATCAAAGCGTTAGAATTGTAATAATTGTACAAAGTTAGATCACACACATTAAATAGATATCAGAGATCGAATAAAATATTTATAAGCTAAGGCTTTATAAGAAAAAAATCTAGTCATAAAATTATAATGCTAATTTAAAACTGTGCAGTCATAAGTAATTTATAAATCTATTTTATTTACCAGATAATTGTGATTGTATGATAATTTAACAGGAAATTTACTGAATAAATTGTATATAAATAAACAAAATTTAAAAGCTTTTTGATTTATCGTTCTTCCTCAAGAGGATTTCATGTATATTAATTTGGTATCATCCGAATCATTTCTAATGACCACGTTAATCTGTATTATATAACATTCAAGTTAAGCACAAGTGCACAAGTAAAATATGCAAATTAACATGTGGAGTACCACAAGGATCAGTCCTGGGGCCCTGTTATACCTTGTATATATATATATATATATATATATATATTTATAGATATTTTATACGATCTCCCATACCAAGCACTTCTGCCTGTCCGAGATGTATGAAATTTATATTAAAATTCAAATAAATAAAATAAAAAAGAACTAACTAGTTTTGTGCTAAAAGCTTTTTCGATGCTCACAAAAACTATTTAGTACTTGCTGATTCTTAATTGAATTATGGACATGAAAGCTATTTTCTATATTTATTGACTAACCTGTAATTACTTTCAGAAAACTTCCTTAAAGGGAAAATATTTCTTACGTTTAGTTTTTTTGTACCATTAATATACCTCATGTATGATATGATGCTGTACACTAGACAGAATTGTTTGTCATCAGCATTTTTATTTATTTATTTTTATTTCAACATTTGCTGAGCAATGCCGAGTAAACAATTACATTCTTCATCCTTCATGTTAAATTATATTCCTTAAATTTTCCAAAATACCTGACCCTAAAGGAAACATCACAACACATGAAAAATGTCAGCATCAACAATAATCTGAAGAAAATCAAACTTTGAAAGTTCTTGTAAAATATACACGATACTAACCTAACTGATGTATAGGTTAAAAGTACTTTTATTTTGTTATTTTTATATAAATTTATAAAATGGCGACTAATCTATAACATTAAACAAACTGAATGTACAAACTATTATTTTGTTTTATCTTTTATAAACTTTTAACGTATTTAATTTTTTACACATTGATTAGATGATTCTTGAAATGTAAAAAAAGAAAAATAAGTACTTACTTAAATAAAATGTATCTTGTAACACGAGTACAATTACTAGTAACGACAATTATAATTATTTTATAATTATATTATATACAATCATTAAAATGAGAGTTATTAAAATTTCAATTTTAAATTTGACATTGTCGTTGGTGTTTCTCCAAAAAACATTTACATACCTGTCACACATCTATTACAATACTTCATTTACAAAAATATTTGAATTACTATTTATAAATATAAAGCTATTAAGTATATTAAACTCATATGTCAGTCAAAATAATAAAATCACTTTTTTCACATTGTTAACTGCAAATAAAAATGAGCAAACAGCTAACTGCCAACATGATGTAAGCTGCAATAGAAATTAAATTATGATAGGTTTTCATGCATACGAATCGATAAGATTTAACAAATTAATAATAATTACTTGAAATAAATATTTAAAAGTTTATAAGGAAGTTTCAAGCTGAAAATAAATATTGGTTTTCAAAAGCCATTTGAACAATGTGGCTCATAGATAAGGAAATGATGCGGTTGTTAATGTTGGCACCACTGATTATATGAAAGGACTCATACACACTTCATATTAGTTTTGTGATTTTTATAAAAATTTTATTCGAAAATGAATTTTATTTTATATTTTTATTATAATTAATTCTAACAAATGCAGACATGCTACAAACGAGTGTGAATGTGAATTAAAAAATTGCTGTTTTTTTGATATTGGAATTGCTGTTTGAAGATATTTGAATGTCAATTAAAAGTAAGTATTTTTATTTCATTTCAATTAAAAATTGTGCATGAGTCAAGTAGTGATTAAAATACAGTAAAATAATAAATCCTCCTTCGATTCAAAATTATTTTGATAAATAAATCGCAAACACACGGCCGCATTGCCATTACTTCAATTTTAATTGTTTCCGCACTTCGCCAGAGGCGCCACTAACTGAAGCATGTAAGTTTATCTCTAGGTTTAATTCTAGATTAGAATTTATAAATTTATAATTTGTATAAATGAAATGAGAACGATATATACGCGTATAAAATATATTTTCAACGAAATCACAAAAATGTAAAATTAAAAAATTTAACGTTTAAAGTACGTGTACGTGTGATGAATTTGAGCACAGTAGACCCTCTGTTGATTGTGGAAAACACTAAAACCGGGTAAAGTACGTTTGTTCTGTTTTTAGGACCCAAACTATAAATTTTCAAATCATATCTGTCGACAATTAACAGAAAATAAATATTCTACTCATAATTAATAAAACTATAAAAATATTTAAATAATCTTAATGTATTTAAACTTAAAATCTTCTTTAACTGATAAAGATACAAAACTTAAATGCAAAAATACACTAAAATAGAGCATTTCTCCCACAAAAGTGAAAGCTTAAATAAAACTTATATCATATAAGAGGATCAACCTTACTAACATTTCTCCAAATGAGCAATGTTACACATTAATAATGATATTTTTCACTATTACTTATTGCATTATGATTATGATTAAAAGGGATTATTACCATAATCGATTCTCATATTGAAACTTCCATTATTTACATCATCGACGAATTTCTCCCATCTCTTTTCCCAATCTCGCATGAGCTCCTGTTTTTTCTGCCCTTCCAAAGAAGAATAGTTAATGGAGTTAATTGCTAATTGTTTCAATAAACGCAGATCCTGCCATTTGGCTGCTAGTCCCATGAACGCTTCATACCTTGAATAAATGATAATATAATTAATATATTTGAAGTACATAATTGTTTTATCTTTCAACAGATTTCATTTTTTATATTCCCGAAAAATCTGACTTTTCAGAATGACTGATTAAAATCACATAATATCGTAGGGCCTATAATATTTTAGTATGTTATTTCAGACTACAAAATCTATCATCATACTAAGTTTCATTATAATATCGACAAAAAAATCAACAAATAATTACGAAGAATCGGTCCGACAGATCTTTGCCAAAAACAGTGACACTCGACATTGGTGGAGTGGCAAGGATTAAATTTTTGAAATTGATTCAGCCGTTTCTGATAAAACTTCGACAAAAGGTCAAAAATGGGCACACCTTTTCCATACACACACATAGTTTTCTGAAATTTGGTCCCATTCGATTCAGAATGACTTGAAACGTCGAGAAAAGTTGAAATTTTTCAAAGCAAATCCGATTTTTTCGTGATATTATTAAAACTTAATATCTATAATTTATGATTATTATTTTACCAGTCATAAGAAGCTCCCTGGGCGCCCCAGAATCCGGGATCATCCGGAGCGATAACGACCGGATAATTATTTGTTAATAGATAACTTCCAGGATGATTCCTCAAATCGCTTACTAAACCCAGAACCTGGAAAAAAGTAAATTAAAAATATATTACAATAAAATATTTCCAAAACTTCAGTTAAATTATATATTATAGAAGCAAAATAAAAATAAAGAATTATAATTTTTAATAAAGGATTTGCACAAGTTATGATTTTTTATTTAAGAAAACCTTATTGGAACAACTTAATGAATTAATTTTATTTAATTTTTTTATGGCTGATACACATACGCCAGGGATACTGGCACTGACATACAATTGTAAAAAAAAATGATGTAGATATGGTTTAATGCTCTATGCAAACAAAATAAAAAATATAGAATTTTTTTTACCTGATTTGATATCGGACAGACCTCGATGCCAATTTGGTTATTCTTAACAGTTCGAGCTACCTGTGTAAAAATAATAATTATATAAGCATACAAAAAATTTCAATATTAATTTTTAACCCTCCGTCGGTCCGATGTTTATTTTACTTTCGAACGGTCGGAGTGGTCTGGTTCATTGATCGACAGCTAATGAAATTTTAGGAAAAGTCCAGAAATTTCAAGTCGAGGATTACTAAAAGTATTTTTTTTTAAATTGAAGTCGAAAAAAGTCTTGCCAGACCACTCCGACCGACAGAGGGTGAAATATAAATTCTATGCACTTTAGGAACAGATGTATTACATAAATAAAATACTTGGTGTGATATTCGTAATAAAATTTTATACTCGTAGAAATATATTTATAAAGTGTATAAATAATTCTACAGCCATTTAGACTATGGGTATAATAATTCTAGCAGGATTAAATCATTTTATTACGAATGCTGTACCAGATAATGTAATCTGTTTAGTAATATTTTTTACCAGTTCTACCGTAATAATTATAATATATAATTGCACTTTATAATTAATAAAAACAATTAAATATTTAATTAATTTATTAAATATTAATTTTTTTTATTAATTTGGAAGCATTTGAGCCATTGGGAGCAAAGAAATTCGAAAAACCATATTAATGACCACCCTAATATATATATTATATATAATTCTTATGTAAAGATGTATGATTTGATACTTCTCCCAAACGGTTATTCGGATTTTGATAATTCTTTTTAGAGTTTGTCAAAGGAATTTTTTAAGATTTAATGAACGATAAAACTATAGTGATATTGTAGAAATAGATGGCAAAAATTACAACAAAAGTGCCATCTGCTAGAAATGTCAATTCACTTGAAATTTGAATTTAGCTGAAATTATGAGCCTAGATAATATTATAATATAATATACAAGAAAAATATAATGTCTATATTATTATTACCCAAAAGCAGCTCAGATATGGCAGAAATTAAAATAATATAAGATACAGTCAACAGATTAGATTAGTACAGTTAGCAGATGAGATTATATAATTCAATTTAATAAATAACGGAATAAGCCCAAAATTGCATATACATTATTTTTGTAAACTTATGCATGTCGCATTTTGGTTTACTTTACTAAATTATTTAACAATTCAAAAAAATATTTCTACTTATTAAAAATATGATTTAGAATTTTGTTTCATGTATCAAAAATTCATTTGTTTGGCATTGGATATGGAATATTTAGCAAGTTGATCTTAGATTGAATAGTGCTCATATGAATTAGATTTTACAAATTAATTCACCTAAGATTTGAACATAAACAATAATGTTTATTAAATTATTAGTAAGAAAAATGTACTTTAGAAATTATAATTGCCAAAAAGCAACTAATATATGGTACGAGATTATGAAAATTATAGACTAAATTGTTGAAGCAGTTATGTTATGTGGAAAAATCAAGTGTGATATTATTCTTTTACGGCAGATACTATATTATTTTTTTCTGAATTTCTTATACTGCTTATGCTAAGACCATAAATGAATCACAAAGGCAGGACATCAAATAGAATATTAAAAAGTATAGAATAAGATATTAAGAAAAATGGAACTTTTGAATTGTAGACGTCGGTACAGGACAACGTCTGCCGAGTAATCTAGTATATACATATACATATATATATATATATATATAATTATCATTTATTACCTGGGGATGTTTCAGCAAAGCATAACCATGTCCTATTCTTTTAGTTCCCAGAAGCACGGCGTCTACCAAATTATTATCCGTCGAAAATCCATTCCAATCAGTTTCACCGGCATGAAAATAGAAATTCATCTCACTCTGCATTTCTTCCAACTCTGTCGAAAACGAGTGTAGAGTTTCTCCCAAATCTTCCTGTCCAACAAGGTCAAATCCAGCCACAAAATCCGGGAAAGCATTTTTTAAATCCCGTGCAATCCTGGCATATTCCAGAAATTGTTGATTGTTTACTAAACGGTGAGGGGCGTAAATGAATCTGGCGCCGAAAAAAGTTGGATGTTGATTTTTGAATTTGTTTAAAGTGTCTACATAAAGTTGGCAAACTTCTTTTTCTTTGAGTTCCGTACCGTCTAGTCTGTATACGTTGGGTAAGGTACCGCGGAATTCTATGTAGTTTATGTTGTCTTCGTGAAATTCTTTTAAACTTTGGTAGAAGTAGTCTGTCCAGACTGGTTCGTAGGTTAACATTGGTGTGATTTTACCGAAAATGCCACCAAATCTGGTCCAAACAGCGTTGACGTCAAGACCTACATCCTGATGGCCTAAAGTCAACTGCATTTTTAACCAATCATCAGTTTCTAGAATACCTTCAGTCTGTCTTATTTGTGCAACGCTTTTCCAAAGCCCATCATCGGGTTGTTTGGGGAAAAATTTTAATTCTTCAAGAATTTGGTTGGATCCCGTGGTGTCTTGTCGTAATTTTGCATAAAGATTTGGCCGATACGTGATGTTTTTAATAACAAAATCTATACTAACCAATGCGGTATCGTGTCCGTGCAAAACAGCACCCTTAGGCATTTTCTTAAGCAAACCAAAAACTGCAGAATTCCTAACATCATTAACTGATTCCAAGAAACTCCTTGCCGGCGGAAAACGTGCAGGATCCTTAAAACCTTCTTCCAATTCCTGTTTTTTTAAACCCATCAAAGTCGCATTGGCTTTTACCTCATCTTCACTCAATTCCAAGGTACCTCCGACACTATTTTCTTGTTCATTTTTCAAAAATTCTGCACGTTTCAATTCGTACTGGTTAGGAGACATAGGAACTGGTCCGTTCATTATGGCAGAAGACACTAACTGAAACATACATATTAAAACCAATACACTATTTATTATTACCGACATTTTACAGCCAATTTTGAATACAGACTGACGACTCAGGAGACGATTTGTCGACTGGTTGGTTTTTATCCCTCCCCAAAAGTTTACGATTTGTTTAATACCTTGATATATACTCATACATATCAGTGGTGCACGACATTATCATATCCATGAATATGAAATTGGATCGGAAAACATTATGTAAATAGAGCGATTTCATGCAAATATTTATAAAAACTGCAAGATAGCAGAGATTTCGAAGTAAAATATATAACATTTTTAAGCAAATAGGAAACAGATAATATATGTTTTATTAACTTCCCGTAGGGTAAGTTATTGCAATTGTCGAAAAATCTAAATTGATTTTTTTTGCATTTCTTCACGTTTTGAAAATTTCTGATTTTTCAAAAATTTTTTTAATTACAATATTTATTTCAAATGTTAAATAATTTAACATCTAGTAATAATAATAAACAATAACATAAATTTAAATAAAAAAGAGTACAAAGGATAGAATTTACATTAAAATGATATCTGTAGTATGACGATTTAATATAAAATAAAAGCAAATAATAATAAAAATAAAATTAATAAATAGAATAAATAAAATTTCTGAATAATAAAATAATACTAGAAAAACAATAAAGTGGAATCAATACAATAAGTGACAGAAAATAAATATAATAAAATAACAGTATTAGAAAAAATAAGATAATAATAATAATAATAACTAGTGGTCTATGGCATCGAGCCTTAAGGCAAATTGCTGGAACTTCCCGTACCGTATTGAAATATTCAAAAAATTTTAAACGTTTCAAATATATTATTAAAAATACTGTAACTTTCATTATTTTTGCTATCTTGTTAAATCTAAGCAAATAAAATGTAAGTCATAAATCAATTTATCTCCAGAACATTAACAATCGTCATTTCATTTCGAATTCAACTTAAAAAAAAAAAATAGTTGCCTAATTATAGTCACAGTCTAAACGCATTTGCAAATAATTCTGTGCGACATTTTCACTTATACTGTGCTTAGCTTGGCGGCATTTTCACATTTTTCAATAGTTTTCACAAAATTGGAAGAGTACGCACATGGGTAAACATTTGTACTAAAGTGGCGCTTAGACTGTGCTTAGCCTGGATAATTTTTTGAATTTTTAATCCAAAATTATAAAAATATTTTATGCAAAATAAAAAACGATGTGATATTTTTTATCCTCAAAAGCAATTGTTTTGTTAATATAAGTAGAAAGTTTTTTAGATCATTCAAATCGGACGCTTAGTTCACTCAAAAACTGCCATTTTTTGCACATTTAGCTCTGTATCTCCGAAACCGCTGGACCTGCCTTTACCAAAAACTAATCACCTCTTCTCCCAATCATGACAAATTGAATGTTTTCAGATCATTCGAATCCGATACTCCGTTCTCTCAAAAACTCGATTTGTATTTTCTGCACTCGATTTTTATTTTCTGCCTTTACCAAAAACTAATCAGCACATCTCCCCATCATTAGGAATCGAATGTTTTTGACCCATTCAAACCGGTTGATCCGTGCGCCCGAAAACGTGGACGAAAAATTGTATCCATACAAACATACACACAGTCATCTATTTTTTCTGAGGAATGCCAAAATGTTCAGAAACCTCTGAAACGTTAAGACATGCCAAAAATTTCAATTTCGATTTTTGGACGATTACAATAACTTATCCTACGGGAAGTTAATAAAATAAAAAAATTGCTCCAAAACCTAAGGAATAATTTTAGGGTTCGCCAAGCCCTTATCAATTAGGGGTACAAAAACCGTATAAAATAGATATTGACCGTTTATCAGTCATACTGAACATGATTGTAAAATTTCATAAAATAAAATACAACTTTTTTCTCCAATGTTTTACAACGATTTTCCAAGAACATAAATAACAATAACATTATAAACAAATGAAAAATCACATGAAAAATACATAAAACCAATGATGCATCAATTCTGAGTAATCTAAAATAAATAAAAAATCCGCTATTTAAATCTGTTTTCTTTCTGCTCAATATATATTTGCACAGGCGTTTGCAAAATGTTATGCTTGATTTAAAATAAAACAAATAAAATTACATTTTTATATTTAAAAAAAACATCAAAGTGACAAACGAGTGTACATTTTTCATAATCGAACCGATGATTCAATGCAAACTTTATTTTCCCACATAATATTATTAGCAAATCTGGAAGCAAAATTCGAAAAAAAGATTATAAATCTGTGAGTGATAAAAAATCCAAGAAATACATTGAATGTTTATTTTCTCTCAAATAATAAATATTAGTCATGTCGACGTGTGAATTTTAAATATACGCCATCGACAGATACAATATTGAATTAATAATAAATACACAAAGTATTTTTAATATCATGATTATAAAAGTGAGGTTTGATATCAATGATAGAATCTATTCTTTAGATAACATTGTTCGTCCAATTGCCCTTACATAATTTTTACAATACCGGCGGACTTATCAATGAAATGACAATGACGTGGAATTGTCACGTTTAATTAAAATTATAATATTTCTATTATAAAAATGAACTGGTCGTGCATGGCATCATGCCTTAAGGCAAATTGCTGGAACTTCCCGTATCGAAATCTAAGATTTTTCGAAAAGATTCGATTTTTTTGGAAATATTTGTTTTCACAATATTATTTGTTTGAAAATTTTGAAAAAAAACTTGACTTTTTTGAAAGAATTAAATTTTTTTAACTTTCCATAGGGTAGTATAAGTTATAGTAATTGGCCAAAAATCGAAAATGAAATTTTTTGCATATCTTCACGTTTTGAAAGTTTCTGAACATTTTGGCATACCCTAGAAAAAATTGATGTATGTGTGCCTGTATGTGTGTACGTGTGCGCGGATACAAGTTTTCGTCGACGATTTCGGGAACACGGATCAACCGATTTGAATAATTCAAAAAACAATTTACTTGTATTGACAAGATTAAGAACTGGTGAAATTATTGGGAAGGCAGGTCCAGCGGTTGTGGACTCTCAATAAAATTTAGTTAAAATATGTACATCAGATATTTTATATAGATTTTAATAATGTGTACACATTTTGTGTCAATTTTTTTGGTCCGTACCAAGATTTTTAATTTTAAAATTCGCGTATCTGGTTGAAACAAATGTTTTCGACATTTTCGACAGTATGGAATAATTGATTTGAATAATTTAAAAAAAACATTTGATTCGTACTCAATCGCGAGGCGTTTTTGCAAAAGGCACGTCTAGCCGTTTTGGAGGTATGGAGCGCAAAGGGAATAAAAACGGTTATGTAGTTTTCGAGAGATCATCCGATTAGATTAATTCAAAACAATTTTGCTTGAGTAGACGGTGTGCAAAAAATGCTTTTACAGAAAATTTCGTAATTTTGACAATTTAAAAAAAACAAACTTTTCAAAAAAAAAAGTTTCAAAAAATTAATGTTTTCGGAATTTTTCATTATCAGAAAAAAACTTAATTTGAAAATTTTAAAAAATATCAAAATTTAAATTTTGTTTTTGTTAATTTTTAATTAATTAATTAATTTTTAATTTCAAAATTTAAACTTAATTTCTAAATTATCAAAAAAATAACTATCTAGCTGCAAATAAAAATTTCAAGAATATGTGTTTGAAAAAAAAATTATTTAAATTTATTATAATTTACTTAATGATGGCACACATAAAATATAGCGTCGAAACGTACATAGTAAAGAGTAACTTTTTTATCGCGACTATTTTGGTTGCAAATAACATTTCAAGAATACATATTTACTAATACATATATAAAAAGAAATAAGATGAATGTAACCTGCTTATTAGGCTTATTTATTTATGAATGTAACATTGACTGACGTGGTTGTTTAAAAGTTTATTTTCGTGGCAGTAACATAAAAAATTAATTCTTTGAACTTACCTATGTCCTCGTGCTGCATTCACATTAAATTATTTTCACTCATTTGTTAATAAAACTTTTAATTATTTAACCGTGATAATGATTTGCTAAAGTCTGTGTCCAAAAAGCAACGTAAACATAACCATAGATAAATAAACATGGCGCAAATATTTAGGTTTGTTTATCTATGGTGGCGCTGATGCAATCATTTCTAGTAACTTCTATGTCCTATCTATGACATCGCCATGTTTAGTCTCTATGCTCAGCTGTCGAACTGACAGCTGCTGCCTGCAAAACTAATTACTCAAACTTATTCCTTGTAAATTTTTTTAAAAGTTCCAAAAAAACTAGAAAAAATGGCAAATGTAGGAGCTCCACCAATTGTAGGTAGAAATATCATGTCAAGATCTGAAAAAGAAAGATATATATCACAATTTGATTTCCCTTTGTGTGCCGAATCTTCAAAATATGACAAACTCACCAAAATTGGCCAAGGAACTTTTGGGTATGTTTAAGTGTAAGTAATACACTCTCATCATTATGTGATATTAATTATACTTGGTGTCGCAGAGAAGTATTCAAAGGACGAGAAAAAAGTACTTCTAGGACCCATCCTAATAAATTTGTGGCCATGAAGAAAGTTCTCATGGAAAATGAAAAAGAAGGAGTAAGTGTAATTGAAAATAGTATCCTGCTTTATAAATGATTCATAGTTACCTGCATAATTCATATTATCTAAATTTGATTTTTCATTAAGGCCCCTCTGATGTTTAACAATTTTCTATCTATTTTCTTCCTCTCTATTACAGTTTCCGATAACAGCCCTGAGAGAAATCAAGATTCTGCAGTTACTCAATCATGAAAATGTGGTAAATCTCATAGAAATTTGTCGAACAAAAGCAGTGTTAGAAAATAATTACCGTTCCACATTCTATTTAGTTTTTGATTTCTGTGAACACGACTTAGCAGGTTTATTATCAAACGCCAATGTGAAATTCAGTTTGGGAGAGATCAAGAAAGTTATGCAACAGTTATTAAATGGATTATATTATATACACAATAATAAGGTAATAACTTATTTAATATATAAAAATAAATTTTAATCCCTTTATAATCCTTTTTCCTTCTGCAGATTTTGC